TGTTAGCTTACAAGAAATGTATAGCTTACATGAAGTAATAAATGAAGGAGAGCAAAACACGTGTTGTCCTTGCTTCACGAGCAACTCAACAGAATTCCCCTCGTCAATTCCACCGTAAGAAGTAGACTGTGCCACTCAAGCTTCGACTCGAATGTAAAGTACGAATCAAATAACATAACTGCTTCATCGAGGCAATATCACGCTGGTATTTTGATTTTCGGATCGACAAGAAGCGAAGCGAAGTGGGGTGGGGTGGGTGGCGGGCTCATCGTCATAATATATTTGAATACCTGCTTAAAAGCTTTAGGACTCCCAGTCTCAACAGTGAAGGCATGCTTCGTGGTACAGAAAACTTTTATTTCATTCTCATAACTTTCTCCTTTAAATTAGAACTGGTATTAATTGATAGAGTTATCAAAATATTTTTAACAGAGGTAACCATATGAGCCTTTTGCATATCATCTGACCTTTTATTAATGCCCCATTGCACGGAATGAACAATATACTTAGAATGTTTGTTCTAAGTCATTTCTTCTGTTCCCAAGAATGTATGCAAAACGATAGTGTTGATTTATTCGGCTGCCACGTTCTTTTAAATTATGGCGCGTGCAGGTTTTTTCTATCAAAAGTCGCGCGCGCACACACCAAAATTAAAAGTTCGTCGTAAAATCGCATGAATCTTAGAATGAGTGTAGGCAATTTTGACTTCTAGGGAGATGAAGTGGATGGTTCAAAGGACCCCCTGAATTTTTCCAGGACTATAACTGAGATTTGTTTATAACTATGACGATCGTCATTATTAGCGGACGGTGCTTTTACCCATTGTTGTCATCATTCTCGTTATCACACCGGAAGAAGTATAAAGCTGGCACGATGCCTTATCCAACGACACAGAAAATTTTTCTCTCTTTTGCTTCCCTAGCAATTGGATCCTGGAAACTGTTACTATTAAGACGATCAACAAGAAAGCCTTAGCAATTACTGAAATTTTTGATTAACAGAATGTAATAAAATATCGGTGGGGAGAATAATTTGCGTATCTTATAATCTGAACAATAGTTTTCAATAAGACAAATACCACTTAATTCAATTTACCTTAGTTGTCTCGTGTTTAAAAGTAACGTTTCTGGGGACCGTAAATTCTTCTCTGATTCTTCTTGTCTCAGCCAAGACTCACTATCTCAACTTTTTTCTTGTGCTTCGTACCGCATGGGACACAGAAAGCTGAGGTAAGCGATTGCAAATTTCACAGTTAAAGTGAAGCCCAGTAAGCATCCATCAAGAGTTGAAAACCGACATGCAAATCCACATTTTTTATTTATCCTCCTGAGCGAGGTGAAATAGGCCAGTCCTTGCCAAGATTAGCTCATTTTCACTTAAGACCTCTTTAGACAGGGGGCAGCTTATCAAATGATGTTTTACTTTATCATTGCATTCAGACAGTTGTACTAAACCACTTAAGCCACGCGATGAACCAAAGTTTTTTTCTATCTTTGCTATTCAAAAGGTAGTCCTGAGACATAATGAACGTCTCGCTAACAAACGACATCTTTCTGTACTTGTAATTTTTTACAAGTTCAGGAGATCTAAAGGAACTCACTGTAACTTCTTATACTCGATGCGATTTCAATTTCCGCGCCAAAGGAGAAGCTTACTGTAATTCGTGAGTGGTCGGTGGTTACGCTCGTGAGGTAAAACATGGATTTGTGACTTTTTCACTCAATTGAAAATACTTCCGTCACTCTTGTGAAATGGTTGAACGGAATACAGAATCCAAGCATTCTGTTATTTTTCTTAAAGATAGTGAGGTCACCCGTATCCTGTGAGCAGGGAGAAGCCGCGAGACACGAGACTCGTGTCTCGCGTCTTTGCCGCTCCACGCTCTCAGAGTTGGGCAAAAACAAGACACCTTACTTCTGATACAATACAAGAGGTTCAATGGTTAATGATCTCGGCTATCTGAACACATTTATTTACATGGTGAAGATTTGTTTATAAATCTATGAATTGATGCCAGTCCTATTTGGAACGAAATGTATTTAAAAGAAAAAAGCATACTAAGCAAAACAAAAGTTGTCTGCAACACAAAGCATGCCCTCGCATTAAGACTGAGAGTCCTAATGCTTATTATGATACTTTAATGCATATGTTCGAATGTTCCCAAAAAATCTTCTGATAATCTGCCCACACCCACCCCACACCCCTCCCTCACCAATGAGCCGTTCTGTTTTCACTCAGCGGCTGGTCAGTGATCACGTTTATGAGGTAAACATGGCGATTGCTTCCTGATCACCGTTCTTGTCGATCCGAAAATCAAAATACCAGCGTGATATTGCCTCGATAAAGCAGTTATGTTATTTGATTCGTACTTCACATTCGAGTCGAAGCCTGGGTGGCACAGCTTATTTCTCACGGTGGAATCAACGAGAGGAATTTGAACACTAGCTGTAGTGTTTGAATTGTTGGAAGAAATGGTCGCACGGGGATGTAGGAATGGTAA